TCACAAGCACACCACAGAAACACATTCCTCAATAAATAAATAAATGTTATAGAACAAATTTAAAAATTACCGAAACAAAACAAGTAAACTCAAAACCAAACCAAAATAGAACAGAATAAAAACCCTACACTGAACTAATACTGGAAATATTCAACAGAGACTCTCTATGTGTGATGTATTGGGGGGGGGGGGATGTATTCTCTAATGTGGAAGTATATATGGACACCAGCCATTGATATCAGGATAATCTTCCTCAATCACTTCTCCACTTTATTTTTTAGTTTTTGGGGGGACTCGCTTGCCATTCATTTTTGACTAGACTGGCTTACCATGGAGCTTTTGAAAGATCCACCTGTCTTTTCACACACACACAGAAATGCACCAATGCAACAAGGTTTTACACAGAGTCTGCAAATCTGAGATAAGGTCTTCAATCACTTTCAGCATTTCCGTAGACCTCAAGAGACATTCTATTGTACATGCTTTATGACTGTAGCTATCTATACATGTTTTAAAAAGCTACGTTGTAAATTAGCATACTGAGGCTATACTGCTTCTAAGAAAGACAAACTAGTAACCCAGAATTTGGAAGCCAGAGGAATTGGAGTTCCAGGCTAGGCTTGTCTATATAGGGAATTTGAGATCCTGTCCACATACATGCATAATAAATACTAACATAATTACTTCAAGTAAAATATAAACTTTATGAAAACAATGACTTATACACTAGCTATTAACTTTTCACTGAATTATAAAACGTATAGTTTATCAATTCTTTGTTGTTATTTTAGGTTTTTTTGCTTTTTTTTTTCGAGACAGAAAATCACCCTAAGTAGCCCAGGCTGGCCTCAAACTAGCAGCCATCCTTGAAGGCTATTGAAAGATTTTTAACTCAAATTCTTGAGGTAAACAATGAATTGCTCGTTGGGTATAGTAGCACATACCTATAATCCCAGCACCCTAGAGGCAAAGGGAGGGGAAACCCCCATTGTTTGAAGGCAGTTTATTCTAAATATAAACTAAGAAATATAATGCCCATCAAATATCCCCCAAATGAAAACAGACAAACTAATTTGACTTTTTTTGGTGTCTGTGTTGGGGGTTGGGGGGGGGCAGTCGTCCCATGTAGCTCAGGCTGGCTTCAAATTCACTATGTAGCAGAGGAAGACCCTGATCTTCCCACCACTTCTCAAATGCTGGTATACTAGACCTGATTTCTTAAATTGAGACAAAAAAAAAATGGTTAATACTGATTTCCATGAAAGATTTATTATTTTAAACACATCTCAGGATTAAAAACTCTAAATGTGCTGGGTGATGGCAGCATCCACCTTTAATCCCAGCACTCGGGAGGCAGAGGTAGGCAGATCTCTGTGAGTCCAAGGTCAGCCTGGTCTGGAAAGTTCCCAAAAACTTACAGAGAAATCCTGTCTCGAAAAAAAACAAAAAGAAAAAAAAATCTAAAAGCCTAAAAATAATATTTGATTTGCTATAACTTGTTGGTCAACTCCTTATTTTGCTAATACTATTAATTACAGTGGTATATTATTTGTGTTTTAATAAATAAAGCTTGCCTGAAGATCACAGGGCAAAGCAGCCACACTAGTCAGTCATACATGCCAGAGTGGTGACACACACCTGTAATCCAAGGACTAGGGAGAGAGGCAGACAGATTTCAAGGTTAACTTGGCTTACACAAGATTGATCCAGTAACAGATCCAGGTGGTGGTGGTTTACACCTTTAATCCCAGTGTTTGGGAGTCACACACCCTTAATCCTAGCACTAGGGAAGTGGAGACAAGGAGGGAGGGATGTGGCTGGGTTGAGAGGGGAATATAAACTGGGAGAGAGACAGGAATTCACTGGAGTGTGTGGAGTGAGTGTGAGGATTCCTGGAGACAGGATCTTGCCCTTTCAGTCTGAAGATTTGGTAGAGGTAAAAGTGGTTGGCTGCTTTGCTCTTCTGATCTTCAGCTTGAACCCCAATATCTGTCTCTGAGTTTTTATTATTCGTGCAACAATTCATTGACTTTTTTTTAAGAAATGGCCTCTGTCATAGCTACCTACGGAACCTGCAACATGATCTAAAGTTTTTATTTCTGAATCTGTCATTTATTGACATATTAAACTTCGAACTTTTAACTAGTTTCCCAAAAGAATTTTTTCCCGTTGTTTTTTTTTTTTTTTTTTTTTTTCCCGAGACAGGGTTTCTCTGTGTTCAGGCAGGTGGAACAAATTTCAAACTAATGAAAGGTTTTGACCTGGTCTTCATATAGAAGAGGAGAGGCCTCCTACCCTCGTCTTCCTTCACCCTAACCCTGCGTCTCATAAAGCAAAAAAAAAGAAGATACTAGAGTATGTAAAGGAGTAATAGTACAAAGACCAAAATCCTAACAAATTAAAAGGGACTGAGAAACATCCTTTACCCAGGATTCTGGATTGTGGATCAGCAGCATCACATTTATTTACGCCCTCAGTAATATGTGAGGCAGAAAGAAAAAAAAAAATTGGTGAATCTGAGAAACACATTTTTAATAAACAATAAAGAATGTCATGAACATACATATTCCCGGTCTCTAAAATTTTTTAAGATTTAAACTGATTTAAAATGTGTGAAACACAAACCTTTATGGCAGAACTAGAAGTCTGTTCCCACCAGGCCCTCATACCTGATAGCAGCCAATCCAGCTCCTTCAAAACTCTGAAGAATTAACTATATCAAGAGTCATCATTTTTATGCATTTCACATGTAAACAGCAAATGCTACAGATTTTTGTTTTTAAAAACATCAGATATTAAATTAATGTGCATTTTCCCTAGCTATCAAGCTTTTGGTCAGAAGGACACTGAGTAACTTGGTAATATATTCCCAGTTTTTCTCTTTGATAGTTGTATCACCAAAGTTATCAATCTGATAAATAAAATTGTGGCTCCAATGATTTCACATATAATACATACTGATGTCCCTAGAACTACTACTCTGTAATTTAAACTCTTATCTTTAACAATATATAATAAAGGAGTCTTTTCGATTAATAAGACATCAGAAAATAAAATAAACAAAAAGAAGAATTACTAATTAAAAGATTGATTACTTGGATTTAAATTTCAGAAACTTTCTGTGAAATGAAAACTTTCAAAGTTACCTTTTTATTCTCTTTACCACTTTTATAATGCCAATGATTTCAAGATAGTAAGAATTTACTGGGGTCTATCTTGGTGGTAGAGCACCTGCCTATCATGCATGAGGCCTTGAGTTTAATCCCAAGGTATAAATATAAATACATTTATATATTTATTTATATATATACACACAGAGATAGTTTTAGAATATTTCCTTTGGTCAAATCTTTTATTTTCATGTTCCAACTCATTGCTTTGAATCTAATTTACCTGGAAGGAATTTCTCAACTACACAGAAGGTGAAACTTTTCATTAGTGATCCCAAATCAAGGGCTTTAAATATTTACACATAAGAATTTCTGAAACATGTAGTGCTATTTAAAAGCAAGTGTTGTTCTTTTTCTAAACTTAGCTAATTTTTTTCAGCTTTTAAAAGGAACTGGATCTACTGTAAACAGATGTTAAAAAGCACAGAAGAAACAGACTTGTAGTTCTATGTAGATTCAAAATGTCCTTAAAAAAACAATTTCAAGACACAAAAGAAATTAGTTAGTCAATTTCTACGTGTGGATTTAAAGTGAAACAATACTCCTTTAAAATATTTTCTATTTTATGATTCAATCTTTAAAAACTAGATTTAAGCTCCAAATTCAAAAAAAAAAAATTCAGAGCCACTTTAGAATCTGGTAGATATGAAGTGAACCAGATCATCTTATCAAATTGATCATAAAAAAATGCACTAATTCACAATTAAATCCACAGAAACTGTTAGAAAATGTCTGGCCACACATGAACAGTGAGAAGGGCCAATATTTCTTTATCATGCTTAAATCTTTCCTGCCCTCAACCAAGAAGGCTTCATACTGCACTGTTTGGCTTGAGAAAGGCTAATGGTATACAGGTTAGTGCATATAAGAAATTAAATACCTGCTGCTAGAACACAGTACCAATACTGTCATTAGGACTACAGCCTTCCCTTTTGATTTTTCCTTGTGAACGTTTTGATGGACTTTAAATACCATTTTAAAAGATAACAAGTATCACAAGGCAGGAAACCTCTATAGGAAAGATACAACCTTCAGAAAAGTAGGAATAATGTATCCATTTTTCTAAAGCAAATACATTTAGCATCCTATAAACCCAACTTCTTAAAGTACTATAGTTGGGCAAGCTAATAAGGAAACCATTCATATTAATTTATTATTAAAGACTTTTTTCATATTAGTTTATCTGTCATGTGTTATCCTAATTCAAAGAAAAATCTGAACCAATTTAACTATAGTTATAAAGTGTATGATTTGAGAGCTGAGTAAAAATAAACTTGACAAACTTTAAACATTTTTAATACTTTTCACTGGTACTGGAGAGTGTATTTACATATAGTACTCAATTTTTTTTATTTTTTTCCATGAATTTAAAATAAATCAGGCCACATGTATATTTAAATATAGGAAAAGGGTTATAGTTACATCCCTATAAACAGAAAAGAAACTTGAGAACTTGAGTCCTTTTTCAGATCATATAACATTTTTCCCTTTGAGCAAGTCTTTAAAAAAAATACCATTTTCTAGCCATAGCTTGGTATTTAACCAATTTATGTGCACTCAACAGTCATTTTAAATTGGTTCCCATATCTGAACACAAAGTCCATTTTAGGAAATAGCATTTACAAATGTACAAAATTTAAAAATTTTATATATACATAAATTTTAAAAAATGAAAAAATTGAAAACCTTTCAATTTAAAGGGTATAGTCTTTAAACCCTTCTAAAACAAACCCTCAAATCATACTCTTTTTGAAATAACTTTGCCAATACTGTTCATGTAGGCCAGATAATATCCTAGTTTTCATGAGTGAAGTAAAATGGAATGCATACCAGCAGCAACTACAGCTGGAGGAGGCGAGCCTGCCTCACCACCACTTGTCTGACTCATTGATGCTACAGAAGTTTCTCTAGGTGGAGGTAACTGTAACTCCTTTGGGAGAAGATCATAGACAGATTCTGTAGGGAGGAAAAAAATTTGAAGGTCAATCAATAACCTAATTGCATGTACAGGAAATAAGTATCTTTTCTCTTTTGAGAATTATAAATTCACAAAAAAAAACCTGTATCATGAAGGTTGTGAACAGTTATTAGCTGTATTTGTTCTTTTAGTATATAATCTTATTAAAAACTGAAGAATGAATTTTCCATTGTTTCTACTCTGATTTTGGCTTTACTTTTATTCTTTATTTGTTCAAGATCATCTCTAGAAAAACATATATTTTTAAAACTAGCTAAAACTAAAATCATAATACAAAAACTTATAAAGGTTTACAGACACAAACACATACATTTAAATGGAAAAGCAAGGTGAAATCCATTTATGATCCTAACACAAGCAGCTAAGGCAGGACCAGAAACCACAGGTTTGAGGCCATTCTGACTCACAAAGTTAATTCCAGACTCGCTTGGGTTATACAGGAAGAAGACGCTATCTCCAAAAATAAAAACTACCCCTCAAAAAGTGTTTCTGAGCCAGACAATGGTGAGGCACTCAGGAGACAGAGCCAGGAGAATCTCTGAGTTCGAGGCCAGCCTGATCTACAGAGTGAGTTCCAGGACAGCCAGGGATACACAGAGAAACCCTGCCTTGAAAAACAAACTAAACAACAAATTAAAAAAGTGCTTCTGAGAGAAAATGCTCCCTCCAACATTGGAGACTAAACCAAGGGCTTCAGGTCCCTGCTAAGACTTTTCTAAGTAAGACTTTCTGTAAGTAAAAACACTTTAGGAGATGATAAAAAATGTTCCATAATTAGATTAAGGTGATGGTTAAACAACTATTAAATTTTACTGTTTTAAATGTATTCTTACACACACACACATGCACGCCCATGCGCATGGCAAAGGCAGTCAGTCTGTTAGTTGAAGACAGTCTGGTCTACATATCAAGCTCCAGGCCAGCAAAGGATATAGAGTGAGACAATGTCTCAAAAACAAAACAAAAACAAGCCAGAAAGAAAAGGAGCCTGGCTTTGAGTAATGCCAGGTTTATGCTTTAGTAATTCCAGCATTTTGGGAGCCCAAAAACAGAAGGAATGTTTAGGTCAGTTTGAGTCACACAGTTAAGTTCCAGGTTAGGCTGGACAATCAAGTAAAATCTTGAGTAAAAATCTAGAGTAAAATTCTCTCTTGATGGTAGAGTTTTCAAGATGGATATGCTATGAAGGTTGTGGGAAACAGCAGTACAGTTATTGGGAGCAGATGTAAAGACATCTATGCTATCTTTGGGGTAGAAAAAAAATAAGTCCTTTCTAAACTTTATGAAGACCGGGCAGTGATGGCACACGCCTTTAATCCCAGCACTCGGGAGGCAGAGGCAGGCGGATCTCTGTGAGTTCGAGGCCAGCCTGGTCTACAAGAGCTAGTTCCAGGACAGGAACCAAAAAGCTACGGAGAAACCTGTCTCGAAAATAAATAAATAAATAAATAAATAAATAAATCTATCTTTATGAAGAAGGCTCCAATAAGCAATTCTTTAATGGTGATCAACATATTAGAGTGGCAGCCACAGGTTTGTTGGCAGATGTTCATTCATTAGCAGACGCTGCAAGAAGAGAAGCATCCCAACATTAGTTCTAACTTTAGCTGAAACACTCCTCTAAAAATCTTGTAGAGTGGCCATATCTGTACACACTTATACACATCACTGTTAAGCCTTCTGGCTGCAGTTTCAAGTTAGATCTTACAGTATGAAAGAGGATGCACAGCTCTGTATGTATGGACCCATAGGGTATTTCATGGTTATTGGGGTTGAAGCATTAGCAAAGCCAGGAAGCTGCAAAAAAAAAAATATGAAAAGGCTTCTGATGAAAGAAATTACTTCCTGTGGTACAGTTAAAGGAGTTGCAAAATATTTTGAGGATAAAGCTTTTGAACTAGAGCTCAGATGGGTTGGAGAATGAACTAAAGGAATATGGACTCATTCTAAAAGATATAAAAAAGAAAGAGAAACAGGCTGAGGAATCTTTGAGAAGATGAATCAGATGATGACAATATGTAACACTTTCTTCGCCAGCTCTTGTTTTATGCTTCTGTGACAGTTCCATAAGACTAGCACAGCACCATGGGTCATATAAACCCACTATTCAATTTATTAAGTTTTTGTCTTACCAAAAAAAAAAAAAAAAAAAGAGTGGGGAAGCACAAGAACAAGTAGGGCTCCTAAAATGTCCCTGCTAAACTTCATGGACAAAATTGGCTTCTATTTTTAAGAAGCAAATTATGATTTTTAAGAAGCAAATTATGAATGACAAATAGCAAGCAGGTGGTTTTTTGTTTGTTTGTTTTGGTTCTCCTGGAAATCAGGAAAATGCAACATGCACAGTTATGTTTAACTCAGTGATTTTTAAAAGTTCAAAAAAAGAAAAAGAAAGTAGAGTCAGACAGTGGTAGCACATTTAACCCAGGCACTCAGAAGGCAAAGGCACTGAGATTTCTGAGTTAGAGGTCAACCTGGCCTACAGAGTGAGTTCCAGGACAGTCAGGGATACAGAGAGAAATCCTGTCTTGAATAATCGAAGACGTTCCTTTATACATGATGAAGAAATGTCAGCTTCATAAAATAGGTAACTTTCTACCAACTACACTCAAGGATGTAGGAAGGAAATGGTCATTGCATCAATAACTTGAATATTTCTAATTTGCAAATGACAGAGATTTAAGAGAGATAAATATGCATCATTATAACTCATCACAAATAATGAAAAGTAAGTGCAAATACATTCTGATCCCTAACAGGCAGAACAGTTTATAATTAATAAGCCTCTGTGTGTTTATTTGGGACTGAACGGCTGCAGGACCAGGCAGGACAGAAACTTCCATCTATAAAAGGTGCCCAATTTTCAGCAACTATATCCACATAAAACCTGATAGAGTCTGGGAAAGGATTCTAGACACAGAAGAACAGAGTCAAACACAGGCTCTTGGTAGCAGCATTTTCTCAGGTGGGCTCTCTTTGCTAGAGGCAAGCAGAGGCACGGCTCCCTTAAGAGAGGCTTCCTGACTCAACAATAGTGGCAAAAACCCTTGAAGCTATTTTAAGAGGCTTGCTACCAAACAATTAAATGGTATTTATGAGCAGCTGGCAGCGGCAGGCTTCTTGGTGGTGGCATGGACCTTGCAACTCTACAGGGTTGTGACAATAAACATGGTTTCCACCAGTACCTCCACCATGAAGCCTAGACTCTGAGAAAACTAAGGAATGGGATAGAACCAATCCCCAAAGCCACAGCTTTAATCCTAGCCATGCTGTTTAGTAGATTAAAGACTCATGTGCTCAGAAATAAAGATATACAATAAAGAGAGATTCAGATGGGGGAAAAAAAAACCTCTAAATGGTTTACAGTGTGTTTAAAAAATATACGTAGGCTTGGGAGAGAAAAGAAAAAGGATAGAGAAAGTCCTTTAAAAAAAAGAGAGCCAGGCACCAAAGCTACAGAGAAACCTTGTCGAGAGAGAGAGAGAGAGAAATAGAGAGAGAGAAATAAAGAGAGAGAAATAGAGTAGTCAGGTGTTGTGAGCATGCCTTTAATCCCAGGTAGAGGCAGGTGGATCTCAAAGAGTTCGACGTTAGCGTGGTCTACAGAGTGTGTTCCGGGACAGCCAAACGTCTCATAAAACCAAAAATTAAAAAATAAAAATAAAATAGAGGTTTTTAAAAAGCCACATAAAGGTGGAAAATACACAGAGAATCTGGATATTGTATGTTATTGTGTTGTTTTGAATTGTTTGTTGAGCAAAGAGCAACATCTGCTACAAGACATTTGAAGCTAGGCAGTGGTGATGCACGCCTTTAATCCCAGCACTGGGGAAGCAGAGGGAAGCGGATCTCTGTAACTTTGAGACCAGCCTGGTCTACAGAGCAAGTGCCAGAACAGGCTTCAAAGCTACACAGAGAAACCCTGTCTCAAACTACTCCCTCCCAAAAAAAGACATTTGATTATAAATGCTGCTGGATTAATCAGTTTGAAGCCTTGACTTCAAAATTTAAGTCAAAGATATGCTATTTTGGAGAAGAGGTTTTGCTTGTTTCCACAGGAAATAAAGGCTATAGATTTATTCTTGGTTAAGAAAAATAAGGTTTGATTGAGGAAGACCCCTTGGAAAATCTCTACTGGGAATGGATGGCTCAGATGATCCAACATTTCAGAGCACCTCTGTTGCAGTTTCTTCTGAGTTCTGCATCCAGAACAGCTTCAAGGTTGCTGGCTGAAGATGATCAAGCACCTCAGGACTTGACCATAATCCTAAATTTTCTTTGGGTCCCCATAAGATTACCAGCACCCCCAATCACAGAAAGTAGCACAGAAAACTACACCCACATTCCAAAAAAAAAATAGGTTATGGATGTTTATCTTTATTTAGCATGCTGGTTACAAGTTATAGATAATGGTCAAGAAGAAGACTAAACAAAGGAGATAAGATTCAGGGTTTTTATTTAGAAAAGAAAATGGGGGAAATGTTGTGAGATAATGCTCTTCTACACTGTAAAAAATTGTCACTCATATGGGTTTAATAGAATGCTGATTGACTAGCAGTTAGGCAGGAAGTATAGGCAAGGCGACCAGACTAGAAGAATTTTGGGAAGAGGAAAGGCAGATAGATGTAGAGGCAGCAAGATGAGAATGAATGCCTCACTGAGAAAAGGTACAAGGCCACATGGCTAAACATTTATGGGTTAATTTAAGTTGTATGAACAAATTAATAAGCCTGAGCTAATAGACCAAACAGTTTATAATTAGTATAAGCCTCTGTGTGTTTCTTTGGAAGTGAGCAGCTGCAGGACCAGGCAGAACAGAAACTTCAGTCAACAGATCCTTTCTCTGGCTATAGGAGCAGACTGGTTCACTTGGTGACTTAGCTGGGAGACCACCCTGTGATACATGCCTCAGTATTACATCACTAAGCCCAATACAAGGTTTCTCTCTAGCAGTCCTTTCTTGCTGCTTCCAGTAAGG